GGGCCGTACTTTTTAATCTGGTTGTTGTTTGCCCCGTTGTGGTCCATTTAGGCGTCACCGAGCTTTGTAATGTGGTCACCTGCCTTGTTGTGAATTTAGTTCCTTGTACAGACGTACTTTTGTCTACAAGTGTTGTATCAGGAAGTATTGTCGATAGGACTGACGTTCTTAAGCTGGTTGTTGTTTCATCCTCAGTGGTCTCTTCAGTCGTAGGTGTCACCGTGCTTTGTAATGTCGTCGACTGCCTTGTAGGAAATTGGGTACCAGGTACCCGGGACGTTCGTTCGTCTACTTGTGTGGACTCTGTAATGCTTGTGGATTGAACTGAAGAGCTTGAGCTGCTGGTGGTAGACTTGACTCCATATGTAGTGCCGGTGGTCGAATGCCCTGTAGTTTCAAGTACGGTGGATTGACCTTCCGAGGTGGCAACGATTGTGCTTGTGGCACCTTGTGTTGTAGAAGTGACGGAAGACGATGTGCTAGCACTTTCTGTTGTGGTGCTAGCCACTGTGGTGGTGGTCTCTCCCAACGTTGGCGTCGAAGTACTTTGTCCTGTTGTTACTGACAAAGTAGGAACTCTTGTTCTTTGCGCAGTCGTACTTTGCTCTACCAGTGTAGACTCCTCATGTTTTGTCGACTGGCTTGAAGTTCTTGATCTGGTTGTTTTTACACTCTCCGTGGTTTCTTCAGGCGTCGGTGTCACAGTAATTTGTACTGTTGTCAAATGCGTTGTTGGAAATTTTGCTCTTTGTATGGTTGTACTTTTTTCTGCCAGTGTAGTCTCTTCAAGGAGTGTCGATTGGACTGACGTTCTTAGGCTGGTTGTTGTTACGTCCTCTGTCATCTCTTCTGGCGAAGGTGACACGGTGCTTTGTTCTGTTGTTACTTTCATTGTAGGAAATTTGGTTCCTTGTATGGATGTAGCCCCGTATACCTCCGTAGACCCTGGAAGGTTTGTGGATTGGACTGAAGTGCTTGAGCTGCTTGTAGTCGACTTGACTTCATAACTGGTGCGAGTTGTAGAATGCCCTGTAGTTTCAAGTACGGTGGATTGACCTTCCGACGGGGCGATGTTTGTGGTTGTGACACTTTCTGTTGAAGACGTGGCTGAAGACGAACCAAATGCGCTAGCCCTCTTTATTGTTGCACTACCCACTGTGGTCACCAAGGAAGTGCTTTGCTCTGTTGTTACCGGCAAAGTAGGAACTCTGGTTCTTTGCGCAGTCGTGCTTTGCTCTCCCGGTGTAGATGCAGTAACTTTTGTCGATTGGACTGAAGTTCTTGAGCTAGTTGTTGTTTCATGGCCTGTGGTCTCTTTAAGCGTAGTCGTCACAGTACTTTGCTCTGTTGTTACCTGAATTGTAGGAAATTCGGTTCCTTTTGTGGTCGTAGTTCCGTCTCCCTGTGTAGACTCCGCTAGTTGCGTCGATTGGGCATAAGTAGTTGAGCTGGTGGTTATTTCATCATCTGTTATTTCTTCAGGTGTAGGTGTCACAGTGTTTTGAACTGTTGTCAACTGTCTTGTGGGGAATTGGGTATCTGGGACGATCGTACTTCCTTCTACCCGTGTAGACTCCGCAAGCTTTGTTGATTGGACTGAAGTTCTTGACCGGGTTGTTTCATCGCCTGTGGTCTCTTTAGGCGAATGTGTCACAGTGCTTCGTTCTGTTGTCACACTCATTGTCGGAAATTGGGTACCTGGTACGGCCGTGTAGACTTTTTCTGTTGTTACCGGCAAAGTAGAAACTCTAGTACTTTGCGCTGTCGTACTTTGCTCTTCTGATGTAGATGTAGCAGGTTTTGTCGATTGTACTGAAGTGCTTGAGCTACTAGCGGTCGACTTCATGCCAAATGCAATGCCAGTCGAAGATTGACCTGTGGTTTCAAATACGGTGGAATGACCTTCCGACGTGGCAATGTTTGTGCTTTGGGCACTTTCTGTCGAAGACGTGGCGGAAGACACCCAAAATGTGCTAGCCCTCTCCATTGTTGTACTAGCCACTGTGGTCTCTGCCAAGGAATGGGTCAAAGAGCTTTGCTCTGTTGTCACAGGCAAAGTAGGAACTCTGCTTCTTTGCGCAGTCGTACCTTGCTCTACCTTTGTAGACTCCGCAAGTATTGTCGATTGGACTAACGTTCTTGCGTTGGTTGTTGTTTCTTTCTCTGTGGTTTCTTCAGGCGTAGGAGTCACGGTACTTTGTACTGTTGTTAACCGTATTGTAGGAAATTGGGTGCCTGATATGGTTGTACTTTTGTCTCCTTGTGTAGTTTCCACAAGGTTTGTCGATTGGACTGAAGTTCTTGAGCTGGTTGTTGTTTCATCTTCTGGCGTAGGTGTCACAATGTTTTGTTCTGTTGTTTCTTTCATTGTAGGAAAGTTAGTTCCTTGTGTGGTCGTAATTTTGTCTACGCGTGTAGACTGCTCAAGTTTTGTCGATTGGACTGTAGTTTTTGAGGTGCTTGTGGTCGAGCCGATGCCTTCTGTTGTGGCAGTCTCAGAATGCGCTGTATTCTCAACCACAGTGGACAAATCTACCGTTGTATCAACTGAGCTTGAAGCGCCCTGTGTTTGAGATGTGATTATAGACCGTGCTATTGTTTCGGTCTGCTCCGTTTCTTTCCCGGGCATGGTAGACTTTTCTAATGTTGGCGTCAGAGTGCTTTGCTCTGTTGTCACTTGCATTGCCGGAAATTTTGTTATGGTCGCGCTTTGGTCTGCCATTGTAGATTCTGGCTCCACAACAGTGGATAGACCTTCGGACGTGTTGACAACTGTAGTACTTGAAGCTGTGTACGAAGACGATCCATGTGGATTAGCCTGCTCCGTCGATGCTTCGGCCACAGTGGTGTCTTTAAGACCCGCTGCCACTGTGCTTCGCTCTGTCGATAACAGAATTGTAGGCAATATGGTTTCCTGTGTGGTCGTACTGTGACCTTCTATTGTAGATTCTTCTGCAGACTTCTCAACAGTGGAGTAGCCCTCCGACGTGCTATCAATATATGCTGCACTTTTTGCTGTTGTTTGTATAGTCTCTATGGGGATGTCTCTTCTTTCTCTTGCCTTCTGCTTGACTGTTTTTGAGGAAGTCTGTTGGTGTCCTGTTTCTATGTCATTTCCTGTTCCTAAAACTAGATCTAGAAAAGGTTTCTTTTTCGTTAAAAGTCTTTCACTGCTTGGATTTTTCAATGTCATTGTTTTACTAGCTCCCATTTCTGTGTCTATCTTATTAAGATTAGTTTTTACATTTCCCCTTTTTGAGGGGAACTTTTGAAGATATTTATTCATATTTACAACTCCATTGTATGTATTCCTAAGTTTGCCAACGCTTTCTGCTCCAGGTTTATTTTCTTTCCTCTGCGTAGAAGTGTCGTTGGTCTCATTTGCTGTTGTCTTTGGTAATCCTCCCGTTGGAAGGTATCTGTTCGTAAACTGCAGCCTGGGAACATTCGGATTTGCCACATTTTCTTTAGTAGACGACAATCGACTTCCATTTTCTGAGCCATTGAATGTCCATACGGCCTTTGGCTTAGATTTCCCGTCGAAATGCGCGTCCACATTCGGGTTTGTAACATTGGAATGTGCTGTAATAGAAACCGTGACAAATTAGAGCGAAATACACAATATCAATCCCAATTTCTTGGACACACTACTGCAGTACCCGAGATGTTAGATAGGATACAACATGTCGCTATTAGACCAGAACCTGGTTCAAAACTTATCCATGAGTATACTTCAGTCAGATTTGAAATGACCTTTGTTTTAGCAAATCCCTTTTCTAACATACTTCGTTCTAGGTGATATATGAAATCCTATGTATACCCGTTCTAGTTTAGTGGTATGTGAGAACGTATTTTAATTATCATTCGCGAGCATTGCTAATTGAAGAAAACGTACTATTCATTTATTCATCAAAGATGAGCTACAAAACTAGTAAAACATATCATTTTAATATTGCATAAGTTAAAAGATTGGTCTCTACTAGCCTGGTAACCATACTATAGTGAGCTTGCCGGTATCTATGTGGTGCTGGGATAGCTGCCTGTCGGTTCAGGTTGATTAGTGCACACTGGGGAATTCTTATGGAGTTCGACTGGTTCAATATAGGAATCCAGTAATCAGAAAGGCGGTTGAAAGGATAGGTTGTCAGAAAAAGGCCATGCTTAGTACTTTCTGGGGCTGGTAAAACGGTGTCTCCTATAAACCTAAGCCGGCCACCATGAATAGTTACCAGGCTTAGTTTACTGACAGAATGTGGGGAATTGGCTTAATAGTGGAGTAAATTCTAGTCCACTTTGTTTACGTGTTATTATCATAATTGCGCACTCATACACTGACTGTCTACAGTGCATACAGGTACGTACACAGAAGAGAACATCGCTACGCCGCCGTTGATTGTTGCATTTAGATTTTAAAACACATTAAGAACTTATGGCTATTATGTTTTCATTACAAATAATTCGTCGATTTTTTTCAATCTCGTCGAAACGATGTACTATATCTGGACACAAGAGGTTCGATAAAATTTTGTCAACGTTCGCGCGTTCGATGCAATTTGATCTCAGTACTTTCTCTGTCTTGTCTATTTTGACTGTTGTTATTGCACACTACATAGGTACTAGGTCGGCATGATGGAGAAGGAGATAGTAACAACAACAAGACAGAGAGAGACAAGACGTCAGAGACAGTGCCGAGATCGAATTACATCGAACGCGCGAACGTTGACGTCGCGATTACGTCATTGCGAAGGCGGGGAGCGGAAAATGGCGGCGGCCAATTTGTGAACGCCAGGCGCTAGCCGCAACTTCAAGCGGCCGGCAGCGCTCTAAACTACGATCGACTAACGAACTAAGTGTAGAAATCACTTTTTAGATATACCATGTATGACATGATGACAGATTTTATCGAATCTCTTGTGTTCCTTTAACATATGGTAGGGGGGGGGCGTGCATGTGTTCCACTTTGCCCAGATGCATCATCTGCCAGACTTTGTTAAATAAAAGTCGTCAGCCAAGCCTTATTTTAAATAAAAGTCGTCAGTCTACTCAAAAAAATGACCACGTAATGGACAAGGTTAGGTCTCCTTCAGGGTATCGTAGATGCGGTGTGTGTACCCCCTCCCCGCCCTTTCACGCTCGTGAGCTACCTGCCCTCTCTAGCTGTCCGTACAGACTAATAATACCCGTTCATGCATTTACACTTATATCGTGAACAGGAACATTATAACTTATACAAGAAGCATTTTGACCGCCATTACACACTTTTAGACAACATACCCACACAGTACTGACGAGAACAGAAGCATGACAGTAGACCCAAGCGTTACACAAGTATTAAACTAGTTCACGTGTCGACCTTCCCAATTACCGAGTTTTTCTAGACATGGCTTCTGAGAAATCACCCTGGTTTGTTGCTCCTTTTATAAACATTATAGTGTCAAGGCTGTTGTTCTATCCTTTTAACATCTATAATGAGTTACACTACAATGTAAAAACATATGATTTAGGTAGCCGTGGAAGATACATGCTTATACAATTATACCGTACATATTACGTATATGTTACGCAACAGCTGTGCACAGGACGGTGTTATATACATAGACCCGGTGAAGGTTGCTAGCTGGTTTAATGCTGAGTCTGCTAAGGAAGCTTTTTAGCATAAAACATGTATTCTCAAATTGTAGTCGCTATAGCAATGAACGAAATGATCTCTTTGACGTAGCCTCCAAATTCTACCCTAACTTTCACACATATCTTCAAAAAAGAAGGCAGACCCAGTAGTTTTTACCAGTAGTTTGTTAGGACTAGTTCTGTGTATTAATTGACATGTTCTTATACCGAATGTTTCTTTTGTTCTTGCAATTAGTGCTCGAGCATGAATTTCCAATAAAACATTATATAAAACATTATACATTGGTTACTGCAGGCCTGGGAGGCAGGCTGTTAAAGCTACTGTGGGATTTTCGTTAAAAATACTTCTCAGACAAACTATGGCATTTTGAAACGCTTCCTTTGGTTTAAACAGGGCCCTTTTAGCCACAGTTATAAATTCGCGTAATAGAACATGTACATGTACATAACCTATCGATACTACATGTATACTACTGTATATATACGATAAAAGCAAGTCTACCGATACTATGCTAGTCCATATCATCATGTCGGCCTATAAAATCCCCCCCAGCCTCATAGAACAGTCTATACACAAATACAGCAGTTTTATGTAAGTTCGCACAAGAGAACAACATAGCCTACCTATATTACATGTATAATACTATATATTATGTAGTCTTAACCACCATCCCAATAGAACAGTCTACGCATACCGCAGTTCGCCCGATAGAACCTAGTTTGCCTACACTTTACAACTATGTGTTTTGTAATGTGTAACACCCACTCCACGCTCTTAAAGGGTGGCCCGCATGCCCTTTTCCATAGAGCGTATTCGCCGTTTTAATTCTACGTAATGCGTTGTAGCCACTTGGAATTTATCGTAAAGCGTAATCGAGAGGTTTCCGAATTCAGCATAGAGCGTTGTCGGGACCCCCCATGCAGGCCCTCTTAAAGGAACCTATACACAGATACCGTAGTTATACATCTCGCGACAGAACTAAGTTTACCGATACTATACTAGTAAGTATATTGTCGTTAGTAGTATTAACCCCCGTCCTACCGTCATAGAACGACATCTACATACAGATGCCACTTTTATAAGTCTGCGCGACAGAGCCTTGTTTACAGGCCTACTATTATATATTGTGTAATGTTAACATTTACCCCTCCCTCATAACAATCTATACACACCACACACCACAGCCATAAGTCTGCCGATAGTAGTATACAGATTCGTATAAGCTAAGTTCGATAGAACCTATCGTGCTACTATACTGCTATATGTACCCCACTTCAACCACATTGAACAATTTTTACACAAATACCGCGGGTTTATACGCGATTATACACGGTTATTGAGTCCACTCGATAGAACATCAGTTTTCCGTTACTATACTACTATGTACAGTAGTACTATGATATTAATCCAATCTAGAAGTCATAGAACAATCTATACATACTAAATACTGCAAAGTTCTAACCCACGTACCTGTGAAAAGGTGCAGAGTTTTCATGCCGAAGAAGGTACAGGCGATGGCGGTTACCACATACAACAGGACCCGGGTCCAGGGCCATGCTGAATACGGCTGTAACTTCATCTTCAAATCCTCCTGGAAAAATCGCGGGAAACATCCTATAAGTCTCGGTAAGCGGCAGCGTTTCTCCTTCGGATTACTTTGAAACTAAAACGTAAAACCATGTTTTTTGTTCTATAAACAGACTAGCGCTCGCGTCGATACTCGCGTTACGATCCAATCTCGACTGAAAAACAAAAACCCTAAAGCATGTTGAAACTAGGCCGGACCAAAAACCTGTTTCACAACTAAAGGTATGTCGTCAGGACGACATCTTTTGTGACGCCTATAATCAAGCCCTATCACAGTCTATTGTGATTTAATTACTCGTTACCAGCATTACGAGATGTCAGATGTGAATGCATAATTTTATAAATGATAGAATACGCGAAAATCATGATGTGCAGTTTTCAACATTTTTATGTTCAAAAGTTGATTGTCTTGTCGCTATTGTAGCTCTGGCGATGTGGATAAATGGCAGCATTTAATGCGCTCTGAAAAAAATGCTTTCCGCAACCCCCTCTTTTTTTCTACTTCCTATTGCCTACTAGCTCATTAGGTATGTTCGGCGCTTTTAGAATTACTTTTTGAATATCGCCGAACGATCAACGAAAAACAACCTCCATCCTAGCACAAGCTGTCCCTCCCCGTGTTGTGATGGTATCGTCCACAGGTGGATACCGAGAAGTCCTGAACAGGTTGTACAATGTACTACGACCCTGGGGCATGCATTCAGATCCTGCAATTTACATAAAAATACCGGCTACTCATAGACTACAACTTTCCAAAAACATCAGACGACATTTTGCACTATTATCATTTCCAATCGGTGTTCGTCCCACACAGAACGTAGGTATAGAATGAAACGTCCATGAAAACAGAAAGGAAGACATGTGAGTTGTCTGATCACACTGTAAGTAGAAAAAAAGCTCACCAGACGAATCTGCGGGCTCAAATACTAGCATACGTTTTCGGCTAAGCTACCACTGTTCTTTCGATCGTTGTGCGATACTAGTATATTGCCGACTGGCCGATGTTTGTTTATTTATTTATTTATAACTTTCGGTGCAATAGCTAAGTGGCAAGCGTGCTCGCCTTACATGCGATAGGTCGTGAGTTCGATCCCCGGCGGAGTCATACCAAAGACTTGGTAAAATGGTACATACTGCTTTCTCTGTTTAGCACTCAGCATTTGAGACGGAGTGGACTAGCCCCCTGCTATAGTGACACAACTGTGTGAAACGGAGATGGGCACCGCCATATGCGACTATGCTTGCTGGGTGGATTTAAGTTTAAAACAACAGTTTACCACACAGCTGTGAGCTTATCAAGGTCTCCATGTCGACAAAATCCCGAAACACTGATACAAGTACATCACACGTACGATAGATATTTATACAAACTCAGAAGCAACTGATTAAAATAAACATACAAATCAACTTAGTAAATCAACTTAGCAGAAGATACGGTAAACTAAAATGTATATATAGCGAGACCTTGTAGCAAGGTTCCCAGGTCACTCGATATATATTCTCATGATCAGAGGAGTTCAAATTTGGCGACCTTCTGTCGGTCAACAACCTCGAGCTCGGCCGATAGTCGTTGACATTTTTTCACCGATGAATCCACAGACATTTCTTCAGTACGCGCCAACTTTCTGATTCCTTAGGTATACATGCAGCTATCACGTCTACACTTTACTTAAAATGGGCTTTGAATTTCCAAACAGAAGAAATTGTATAAAATGCACGGATTTTAGAGTAGTATAGTTAGTTATCCGACCAAACAAAATCCGCAAATTACAATTAAACAGTTAAATTGAATAGTGCGTCTCAGGGTCTAAGTGTGGACTGGCGTGTGTATTGGCTTGAAGAACAGTCTGGCATCCAAAATAGCATTAATGGAGTCTGCATGGGGGTAGTGGTGGACATTGATACTGTAGGCTCTGCATGGGGGTAATGATGAAGACTGATGCTGACATCGTTTGGCAAAACATGCGTCACACAAGTGTAATTCTGGAATTTTGAAGGCTAAATCATCGTTGGCTAAATAACACATTCCTCGAGATCCAGGTGTAATTTAATTTTACAGATCTCGTATAGGACTGTTCAGCCATAGCCGAAGCTGTAGGGCAAATGTCAATTAAGATTCTACAATGGTCATCATTGACTTAGGTAGGCCATACGATCGTGGAATGAAACTTTCTAATCTTAGGCTAAAACAGCTTTTTTTCGCACAGAAATTGGATATGGCTAAACGACGACTGACTTTCTCAACTTTATTGTATGCAAAATAGCTTTGACAGGTTTATTTCATATTTTTTCCGAAAATTCCAGAACCAACAAACAAATTGTTGCGGCCTTATTATCCAAGACGCCGATATATAATAATGGCTTATCATTGATTACAGACCAGCTCCAGCCATGTGACAATTATTGTCATTGATTTATTGCCATGATGACATATGTTTTCGCTCTCCTACGTTTAAGTAAATGGAGCGGAAAATGACAGAACAGGTGGATACATGCGTACGTACGTACCTGTCAAGGGGCGAAGGATCAAAGGGCGTCAACCTTTTGTATGGCGACCTTGTAATGGCTATCTACAGTTCCGTGCGTCAGGCGTTACGTATTGGCCTGGAGCCAGGCGTCCACATAACGGGTTCACAAGGCAGTCTGTCGCACTGGTGAGATAATGGAAGAAAAGCAAAAGTATAAGGATAGAATTTTCAGAGACCAAAAAAAAATTTTAAAATGTTGAACTTTATTCCAACACAACTGGTACAGAGAGAGCAAATTTTCAACGACCGCTGTCGTAATCGGGATAAGTAATGACCAATCACTTAGGAACCAAGTGTATGAATGGTTCATTTTTGTAGAGACATTGTCAATGATACCGTTGCTTCGATCCTGACATCTAAAATACTGAATCACGAGGCGTAAAAATACTCTATGCCACTGACCAGTAATGATATCTCGAACCTTTTTTTATAGAAAATGAAAGGAATGTGCGAATAAAAACGGGCTTCTTGAAAGGTACTACCAAACCGTAAATGAAACACATTTCTGACGTCATGTCTGATAAAGAAAAACCGTTTGAACTAAAAATTCATTTATTGGGAACATTTGAATTTGCCGTGCTATTTTAACCTACAAAACCACCGTACTCTTATCTCTCTTTTAAATTTCTGGGTGATAATTACACTAATCATTTTGTCTCCATAGATGGGGAAGACAACAGAGCGTCCTGCATGTGTGATAGTGAGAGCATTTGAATGAGACTCTCTTAAGTTCCTAGACGTGTTACCAAATCACTGCTATTTTGATAATGTTGCTATAACACCCACATGGATTAACTTGTTATAAAATAACACATATCTTGAGTCAAATGCTACTCTTAGGCAACGGTTATTATTATCACTCGGTTGACCTAGGATGTAAAGTGTCGACTACTAGTATTTGCATTACGCAAGGAATCAAATATTATGCCCCCCCCCACCGCCGCTTACAAAAGTACTACTGTGTGCATTCCCCCATCCCTATAATTAAATCGACGACAAAAGAACCTATAATAAATGTGCTATGAACTAAAATAAAGGCTCAACCCATTAGTCTTTTGTTGACAGTAATTATAAGATTACAACTCCGACGACACAGGTTTGTTTTTAGTTTTGCCGGCGCCCTGCTTTGTTCTTTGATTTCTGTGAAGGAGCGGTCACGCTGTCATTGACCTCCTGCCTTATTTGTCACCGGATAGACACTAGGTCACAAAATCTCTTGAAAATCTCTTTGAAATCCATCCTGCTCGGTCTAGATGACCTACGAAAATTAGTCGATAGTCACATTAGGCCCACTTTAGACACAGATTTTCTCGACAGCGGTACTGGTGAAAGCGGTACTGGCGATAGAGGGAACGCCGTGTAAAGAGAATTCCTGCTGTCGTAAAATGTTCTGCCGACACAGTTGCACGGAGTTCCCTCTGCGTTCCCGCTGTGGCAAAATCTGCGTCCAAAGTGGGCCTAAGTGTCATGGCCGCCCCCCCTCCCCAACATGTCTTTTCTGCTGGTGACAGACCTCAGTACACCTGTACCCACTGTCGCTGCACCTGTATCTCAGCAACACAGAGAACACACAGCTTATCAATATCACACGCAATTTCACCTCAATTCTAGCCCGCAGCGACACGCTGTTACGGAACTCTGCTTACTGTCATCTTCAGCGAACCAGCTGTTACATGGACATTTCAGTATCATCTCACGTGTTCTTTTTGTATTACCTATGTTTAGCCATGATAGAATTTTTAAATATATGTATTGAGGAAAATTATTTGTTTTTATATTAGAAATGTCTCTGTTATAACAGTGCTGACGAAATGAATGTAATTTTTGAATATTTGTCAAGGAACCTGCAATTCAGCCAAGAGGCTGTGAGAGATTCGTCTTTTGAATAAACCATTCTTATATTCGTTGTGTAATCTACGTAAGGCAGAGAGCTTAAGAAAACGGAGGAAGGACAGAACAAACAAGAGGGCCCAGTTCGTGAGGGACCCATTCAGGTTTACAAGATCGCTGTTGGGAGAAGCCAAGTCAGGGAGATTAACAAGCTCCAAGGAAGAAGTTGAGGAGTTCCTGAGGGAGACGCACAACGATGAGTTAAGACAGCAGCCCTTGGAGGAAATTTCTGGTCTAGTGACTGTGGAAGAACCAGAGTTTCAGCTAGACACTAGTGAACCGTCGTGGAAAGAGATCCAGGAAGTAGTAAGAAAGGCTAGAGCAGGGTCAGCCCCCGGTCCGAGCGGGATCCCCTACAAGGTGTATAAGAAATGCCCCTTGCTCTTGCGGCGGTTGTGGAGGCTGCTCCGGAGAATCTGGGTGAAGGGGACCATCCCTGAGTGTTGGAAAAAGGCGGAAGGTTGCCTGGTACCAAAAGAGGAGAACTCATCAACCATAAACCAGTTCAGAACAATCTCACTGCTGAGTGTAGAGTGCAAGATCTACTTCTCCATACTGGCTAGAAGAATGGTGGCATATGTGACGAAAAACAAGTACATCGACACCTCTGTGCAGAAAGGGGGAATCCCCGGCTTCTCAGGATGTTTGGAACACACGGGGGTACTCAGCCAGATGATCAGGGAGGCCAAAGCAAGCAAGGGGGACCTGACAGTGGTGTGGCTGGATTTGGCCA